TTGTTTCAGTTTATCTGGGGGAACTAATAGTGTGAGGCCATGAGGAAAGGAGCAGCTGGTGCCTTAATTTCATTATGCAGGCCTCCTTGTTTGGGTTTTGTTTTACTGAAATGTTTGCTTCAGGGTGGAGGGTACAAGCTGTCTTAATGGTCGTCCTTAGTTTTCTCCTATGCTTTCATTTGATCTGTGGTTAAAGCATTTGATTTGAATTAGTTTCTCTTCATTGTTATGTTGTTGGTTTTCTCTCAGGTTCTGACCCTTGGTAAAACTTAAGAAAATGCATGGCTTTAAACATCTTTCACGCTTGTTTTTTTTATAAGGCTTTTTATATGAATGTATGCATGTAAACATTGGTTATATGTGTTTTGTGCTCAGTTTTTTCACACCATTCGGTTCCATGTATTTTTTTCGTAAGTTTGATAGTTACTTTGTTGATTGGTATCTTGCTAATATCATGAACCCCTTAATGGACTGGGTTTAGTATTTCTGAGAGAATAGCAGGATCCTACGAGATTTTAAAGATGTGTTTGATACAAGATGCCTAGAACTCTGAAATGATAGACTTAAGGCATAATACAGACACTTGCCTGTTTCACGTAATGTTTGTCTCAGGATAGAGTTGTGTTAAGGCATAAGGACCTGCTTAAAGATAACTTGTAAAATGATCAAGAATATACATTTTTTTTTAATTTTCTAAAATCTGTGTTAGGGGTCTCAAGGGAGACAGAACCAACAGGATCTGTATCTATATATCACTTTCTATGTCTGTATCTGAAGAAATTTCATGTGAGGAATTGGCTCACTTGATTATGGAGACTGACAAGTTCAAAATCTGCAGAGCTGATGTCCCAGTTTGAGTCCAAAGGGCATCAGGCTGGAAGAGCCAGTGTGCCTGTTCAAAAGCCATCAAGCAGGAGAATTCTTTCTTGGGGAGAAGGTCAGCCTTTTGTTCTCTTCAGCCCTTCAGCTGATTGCATGAGGCCCACCCACATTGGGAAGGCCAATCTGCTCTACTCGAGTCTACTGATCTGAATGTTAGTCATATCCAAAAACACCTTCAGAAACACACCTGGAATAATGTTTGACCAATATCTGGGTACCCCATAGTCCCTTCAAGTTGATGCATAAAATTAACCATGACAAGTCCACCCCTGGTCACCTTGGCACCCATACTCATCATCTGCTTAAACCATGCTTAATCTCCAAGTAAAGACAAGAACGAGATCATAATTCTGGCTAACAGGACAAGTACTATCCTGCATACAACCAAAAGTGCACTAAGGGTTTCCCCTAAAAGGAGGTGAGGTCCTTGAGTTTACTGTTCTCCTTGATCTTCCAGGTGGAGATGCTTGATACGCTCTCTGTGTCTTAGGTTGCCTGACAAGGGGATGAGAGGCGAGACAACAAAGACCTTTGCTTAGTGTTTACTAATGTGTGTGTACAGACGTATTCATAGCAAAACGAGGAGGAGCTACCACAGAGGTGGCAGTCCTCCGTTCTGTAACAGGGCACGTGGCCGTCCTTAGCTGGTATTTGTGACTCCCTTCTGCCTCTGCCTGTGCCTTGTTCCCTTTGCCTGCAGCAAGCACCTCCTCCTCTGGCTGGGCTGTACACCTGGTGGGAGTGAAGGTTAAAAGTACTTGGTAGCACATTTGGTTATGTTAACATGAGTTATTAAAATTTATTTCTAAAATATAAATGTAGGATTTATTCTGTTTAACCTCAAAAATAATCCATAGTGCATACTCAGTGTAAGAATTGGGACAGTATGGATGAGGTGAGAGGAGCAAGGGGTCAGCCTTCGACTGGCACTGATTGAAAGCCACTGTTAACATGTTTTAGGTGTTGTGGTGTGTACATGTGTGTTCTCTCCTGCCTTTTTCTAAAGCTTAAATTTTGTGACCACTTGGAAATCTGCACTCAAGCTGCTGGTTATTTACCTCCTCCTCTACTGGAAAACTGGGTTCTTTACAGTTTTCACTATAAATAGGGCTGTGAACTCCCTTAGTGCAGCTAAGTTATTCCATGTTTGAGATGAGCTGACTTCCCTGAAGTAGAGTTGCTGAGTTGAAAGGTTTTTAAAAATTGTATTTAGTTTGGGGGCTGAAGATTTTAAAAGCTCATGATACATACTGCCAAATTGCTTTTTGAAAGGGTGGAAACCAGTAACAGGCAGTAATAAGCAGCTCTTAAGAAAGGTTTGTCTAATCTCACAGAAGCAACTTTTTACCACACTTCATTATAAGGGTGATACTTAAGACTTAAAGAAAAAGAATGTTTTTCTTAGTGTCACCATGACTGATGTTAAGGGAGTCTTTTCATTTCGGGGTTACCTTTTCTGACTTTAATCAGTGAATACCAGAATTGTAGAAAGTCATATTTAGGCTACATAATATCAATGGAAAAATAAACAAGATAAAGAGATTTTTAAAAAAGTAACAAGAAAATGTAACTGAAAAGGCACTGGTCTTACTCTCATAACATACTTCTAAACCAACTTTGGAGGTAGTTTCTAAAGAGGGTGCTTTTAGGGGGCTGGCCTCATGGTGTAGTGGTTAAGTTTGGTGGGCTCCGTTTCCATGGCCCGGGTTCGTGGGTTCGGATCCCAGCTGTGGACCTATGCCACCAGGTTGTGGTGGTGTCCCACGTATAAAGTGGAGGAAGATTGGTACAAATGTTAACTCAGTGACCATCCTCCTCAAGCAAAAAAAAGAGGAGGATTGGCAAAAGATGTTAGCTCAGGGCTCATCTTCCTCAGCAAGGGAAAAAAAATGTGATTTTATTATTTTGCAAGTCTTAGTTTAGGTTAAGGTGTAAGCGTACTAAAGCCACTTGTTTAATAGTAGCATCACATGGACACTGGTTTAAATTGGATTTGAAAGCCTGTGAACAACGTTTAAAGATTTAGTTAACATATGAACCTAAAGAAAGTATAATTAATCTTTACAGCAGCGATAAAAGGGACATTGCAGAAGGACGCAAACGCTAGGATTCAATGTACATAAAGTTCAGGAGTGCAGAACGACGACGTAGTTTAGGGATTCGTGTCTGGGTGCAAAAGTCTGAAGCTGGGAGTGTGAACTCTCTTGAATGATTATTTCTTAGGGGAGAGTGGGAGAATTACTGCACAGCGAGTTTAAACTGTTTGTAGCATTTCTGTTTCTTAACCTGGGCGGTCATACAAGAGTGTTAATTAGCCACCATTTTGTAGCTCTGATTGATAAAATTCAGCTGGTGTGGCAGGTGGGTAGGCCATGGCAACAAGGTAAAAAGCCACTAAATAAAATGGTTGAATTTTATTTGAATAGAATGAAGTCTCTGGAGAAATTCACAAAATGTTATTAGCTTTACGTAGAGTTTATGATTAACTTCTTTCTCTTATTCATGCTTTTGAATATTATAATAAAGGGTCTGTAAGCATGTTTACAAAGTAGCTTAGAAATGAGTTTCTTAGAATTATTTTTAAAAGGGTTTAAAAGCATTTACTGTGGGAACTAAGTTGCGAAATCAGTAAAATTTGGGGGTTAGCTTCTTGCTAACAATAGCAGTTGTTATCTATTACCCTCTGTGACATGCCCTCCTCGCTTGGGGGCTAGTGGAGCAGGTCTGTGCATTCGGATTGCTCATGTTCCTTCCTACTCCTCTAGCACTTTCTCCTTTCTTATCTTTTAAGAAGCTATCAGTGAGCAGTTTTCCTGAATGTTTCATTTTTCAGGCCCATTTTCCTGCATTTAGCATTAGATAGAGCTCTCTTTAAGAGGCCACGTTTACGCCTTTTCTCTTTCCTTGCTCCTATTAATACTGAGCTTTCCTTAAGGCCCCTGAGTCTTGCCTGGCTAGCCATTCATGACATGAGGGTCCTGTGGGCAACGACGCACTGGTCTTTGCAGACGTCTTTCAGACGACTGCCCTAGTTCACCTTGAGGGGCTACACTTCTCAGGTCACGGTTGGTGATAACCTGAATTGCAGCTGTGAATCTCAGTTTCTGTTTGGTTTCAGTGCTTGTTACATGTTATTTTGTATTTACTCTGTCATTTCTTTTGTTTCACTACTCAGGTGTGTTGACTCACTGTGTTGCGCCGCCTCCCCTGTCTTAAAAACATGCCATACTAGTTCTTTAGTTTTTGTGTCATGGGTTGCTTTTTTCTTTCCCTGCATGCATTTCTGCCTTACCATTCATCAGGCATCCTTGTTTTCATCTCTTGCAGAATTCCCATTCCCACCCCCACCCCCCAAAATATTTAACATTGATTAATTGCATATAGAATCTCGGTAAAATTTTCTGATGGCAATATGATGCCTGTTTGTGTTAGTAATTTTCTATTAAAGTTGTGTTTTACCACTAATATTTATTTTGCCAATTAACATTTATTCAGATTTGATTTTGACTAATCCTTTCTGAACTGTTTTTGAGATGTCGAGCTTACAGAAAAGTAAAAGGAATTCTAAAACCTCTCAGCCCAGAATCACCAGCTGTTAAATTTTACCTCCATTGGTATAACATTCTCTCTCTCTCTGTTGTAAATGAATATTAGAATAATCCATTTTTGTTATTTCTGAATTAAATTGAAGAAGGCAGCCAGACTCCGTGGAATACAGCCACCGAGGGGTGAAAGCATCTTAGCCTTCCAGGTGGTGGCAGCAGGGTAGAGTCTAACCGAACTTCGTTACCAGGCTCATGGAGACAGCTCTCTCCAGGTGGAAGCGCATGGTAATGGTCCTGAGCTTTAGATTTGTATATACAGTGTTTCTGTCAACAGTCTGCTTGCTTATTTCCCTGTGTCTTCTAGCTGTAGTTGAATTAAACAAGTAAGTAAAACTGCTGGTTAGATGCACTCAGTGTGCTCTGTAGTTAAGTTATGGTATTATAACTTCTTGGTAAGAAGTGTTGTTCCTAATGGAATAATATAAGGCAATAACCCATTTCCTTTATTGCAGCTCTCCTGTGAAAAAATAAACATGAATAAAGACTTTACAAAATGCATTTCTTTGTTTTTAGAAGACCCATTTGAAGACTTTTTTGGTAGTCGAAGGGGCCCCCGCGGAAGCAGAAACCGAGGCACAGGGTCGTTTTTCTCTGCCTTCAGTGGATTTCCATCTTTTGGAGGAGGATTTCCTTCTTTTGATACAGGTATTAAATCCTTAGACTTAATCTCTGATGACCTGAACAGAAGTTAGTGCTGATAAACAGAATAGTGTTCTTTTGTTGTTTTTTTGAGGAAAATTGGCCCTGAGCTAACATTGGTTGCCAGTCTTTCTCTTTCTGTTTTGTTTTTTCTCCCCAAAGCCCCAGTATGTAGTTATATATCCTAGCTGTGAGACCTTCTGGTTCTTCTATGTGGGATGCTGCCACAGCATGGCTTGATGAGCGAGCAGTGTGTAGCTCCATACCCAGGATCCAAACCAGCGAACCCTGGGCTGCCAAAGTGGAGTGTGCGGACTCAACCACTATGCCACCGGGCTCGCCCCTAGAATACTCTCAGTTAGGGCAGTTTGAAGTATGTGTACTCCTTTTGGTAGAACAGCTTTGTACATCTGCCAGTATTTTTTATGTGTACAAATTTGTGCTTAGTAACCTACATTTTTTTCTGTTCTCCCCAAGAATATTAGAGTCAAAAATCCACTTCTGATCTTATTATTAAAAGCCAACATTTAATGAAATTCCTGGTTAAAGAGTAATGTGCTTTTGGGTAAATGAGAAATAACGCACTTAGACAATCTCACTAAATCATTTTTTTAATCTAACCTCCTTGACAGTTAAAAAAATACACACAAACAGGTAGTATCTTAGGAAAGTCCCAGGTGATGGGACCAGAAGCCAGGGCTTCCACATGGGCCTGTAGTGTGTGTGACCATGGCACGCTGAGTCCACTGGGGAAGTGCGACCTCTTGTGATTGCCCTGCTACGTGGTGGTTATGGTCAACTCGAGCGATGCGCACATGGCATGATGTAATTGTGTGTGGAGAATTAGAATCTTATCTTTTCTGTGAAGCTAGTCTTATCAGTGGAACTATTTTTCTCGTATTTTCTCCTGTTTACTTTAAATGCTCTGCGGTAAGAATTGCAGTGCGTGTTACTGTACAGGCTGTCCTGCTAATACAGCTCAGTCTTCTTCCCTCCAGAAACTGGGCTGGGAACATCTAGGTAAATGGACTGGTCGGACTCTAATATGCAGGGCAGTTTTCAAGGTACTTTGCTCTAGCAAATCCTCTCATTAGATACTGTGTAATACAGTAAAGGTGGGAGGGGGTGGTGAAGGAAAGCTGGTTAAAAATATCAACAAAATAGTACTTCATTTAAGAAACGTGTGGCTGACGTGGGAGGTAGATGTGTGGCTCCTGGCTTGCTCTAGACCTGTGCTGTCCTGTACGGTAGCCACCAGCTCCCTGTAGCTGTTGAGCACTGGGGATGTGGCCAGTCCATGTTGAGATGTGTTTTGAGTATGAGATATACACTGGATTTCAAAGACTGAATATGAAAGAGAATGTAAAGTGTCTCGTTTTTTATATTGGATATTGAGATGATAATATTTTGAATATTTTGGATTAAATAAAATCTTAAAATTAGTTTTACGAATTTCTTTTTACTTATTTTTTGAGGAAGATTAGCCCTGAGCTAACGTCTGCTGCCAATCCTCCTCTTTTTGCTGAGGAAGACTGGCCCTGAGCTAACATCCATGCCCATCTTCCTCTACTTTATATGTGGGATGCCTACCACGGCATAGTTTTTGCCAAGCGGTGCCATGTCTGCACCCGGGATCCACACTGGCGAACCCCACGCTGCTGAGAAGCAGAACTTGTGAACTTAACTGCTGTGCCACTGGGCCAGCCCTTCTTTTTATTTTTAATGGGACCATTAGAAAATGTGAAATGATTTATTGGCTCACATTCTATTTCTTTTGGATGTCCCTGGTCCTAGAAAATTAGAGCTTAGATGATTGAGTCGTATTTAGAGAGAGTATGGGGTATTTGTTTTAATGTGAACGATTTGGAAGTGGGACAAGTAATAAGCTCTTTTAATAAGCCAACCAGTTCTTAATCAAAGTGTGACGTGTGAAAATCGGGAGTTTTTGATTTCCGTAGTGTGATTGCCATGTAATTGAGAACGTTGTCCATAGTTTATAGCAAATTTGTAGTATTCATTCTAAAATTATCCTAGCTTTTTAGAAATTCAGATTTTCACCCCCTGTGGTCACATTGCAAGGAGAAGGTAAGCATTATAGATGGGCTTGACATTCTTTGGTGGTGAAGTCACCCTCTAAGATTAAGATGCATATTGCCATCCCACTCCCTGTGTGATGCACATTGCCAGGTTGACCATCCATGAATAGGGTGAAATGCCAGTGAGGTCCAGCAAAGCACTGTGTAAAGGAGAGAGGGAGAGGGGGCAAGGGATATGCCTCCAAAGAGGGAGCTGGTTCTTCCTTCTGTTCCTGGAATACGTGTCCACGGATTCAGCGGAGTGCGGGTTTCCCCTTCCCTGCGGTTCTGTGGCAGTACTGCATAGGCATTACTCTCCTGTATTTTTTATTATTTCTGTATGAACTTTCAGTTACTCCTCAGTTACACAGCTTACATCAGATGTCTACTATGAAGTTTTGAAACTCAGTAATTTTTGCATTAAATGAATACTGGACATACTGGTGTCTAATCTTTGTTTCCTGTTTTCCTACAGGATTTACTTCCTTTGGTTCACTGGGTCATGGGGGCCTCACTTCGTTCTCTTCCACGGCGTTTGGTGGTAGTGGGATGGGCAACTTCAAATCTATATCAACTTCTACTAAAACTGTTAATGGCAGAAAAATCACTACAAAGAGGTACAGCAGTCTTCTGTATTTCATATTTGTAATAAGCAAGGTAGTGTTTCCTTGGGGCCACGTTTCCTTTGCACACCCGAGAGTGTGAAGTACAGGCTGTGTGTGAGATTTGGCACCATGAGAAATTTTGCTTCATCTCCAAATTAGAGCTTTTACTTTTAAGCTTTTGCTTAATGTTATATATTAGAAGTGGTATTTATTTAGAGCCATGTTTAACGTGTAATAATATGCGTAAGTTTTGCTGGCACTGTTAGAATGGTGAAATAGAAAGCCATTAGCAATAAAACCTTTCCCATTTTGATTAATAGTGTCTGCACATGCGGTGTTCTGCTTGTAGTATTAGAGATGAAGCTTACGTGTCAGAATAAATCTCTTTAAGGAAAGATTTATCATCAACAGGTTGGCTTTAGCTGTGTTTTTCAGCCTCAAAATTAGTGATTTCATGTATGTCTTTGGCAATTATGTCCTTTAAAATATGCATATACGTTCACATACATATTATGTATAATGAATATGTATTACATATACATCTGTATACATAGGTGAATATGTTTACATATGCATATATTTACTTCAAAAAAAACTTTTCAAATGCATTTTATCCTCCAGAATTGTCGAGAATGGTCAAGAAAGAGTAGAAGTTGAAGAAGATGGCCAGTTAAAGTCTCTAACGATAAATGGTAAGGAGCAGCTGCTGCGCTTGGATAACAAGTAATTCAACGCACGCATGTAACAAACAGAAATGTTAACATAACAAGCACCATTTGAGGATTAACAGGAACATTTTTTTGAAGATTTCAAACGAACTCGACTTTCAGTATAACTGTACCTAATCTAAAGTATTTATACACAGCTCGTCGGAGCCCTGTTTGTCATAGACTTTTGAGTTTATTGTTGGGACCACATAATAGGACCATTTTTTTTTGTCTTTAAAATTGTTGTAAATCTCTGTATGCACTTTGCTTTTTTATTAAACGTAATCCAAGGTGGCCGTGACTCTTTCGTACACTAACACCAGCACGGACCTGCTTTTCCATTGTGTTTGAAACGTGAGCCGAGTAGTGTCAGCCTGCTGTGACGTTAACATTGCCAGAATGAATCTTCCACAAAAATAATTTCGTTTTTTTTCAGTATTTAGTAGTGAAAGATATTAATGCATTAATGGTAATACATTTCTGGTTTAATATAAATTGAGGATGTTTTCTAGTTGTGCATGAATGCTGGCAACTTAGTAAGTTTTGACAATTGTTTAAATATGTAATGTTAAGCTTAGGTTTAAAAAAGTAAAGCTGGTAAACTGGGTCTTTGTCATTTACTTAAAAAAAAAAAAAAAAGAAAATAAATGCGAATGTGTTTGGTGCATTCTTTCCGGAGTGGGGCGTGTGGCCTTCTTGTGTCTGTGTATGATTTTGTGCCTGGGCTTCTAGTGTCAACTTCATTACTATTTTGTTCTCTTCATTAAGGTGGATGCTGGACTTAAGTTACATGTATTTGTTTTCTTCCGCGTATTTGGAGAGTATATGAAGATTTTTCTATTCATGTTAAATAATAATTAGCAATTTATTAAACATTTTAATATGGTAATATTTCTACGGGGAGGGAAGAAATAGCTATACAGCTTTTCATTCTTCGAGGTATGTTCTAGTTTTTTAGGTTACGTTTGATGCCAGCTCATTTAAAGACCTTATACATGGTAAGGTCACAGAATGATACAGATGAGGGCCAAAATAAAGGTGTTACTTTTGTTTTTCAATCTGTAAAATCTGTCACGATCACCATTGATAACTAGAATTTCTGCCAGAGGAGTATTAAACTAGACTTGGATTGCATTTAAACTACCCACTTGGTTTTGTTTTGGCAATAAGCGGTATATGAAGACGGCTGGAGGGATGGGAGGTTACTAAGGATTATTCTCTAACAGACACATTTCTTTCAACACGGGCTTAGTGGGAAAGCGTCTGGAAATTGCTTATGGTACCATACAATCTTTAAAGAAGCTCGTGTGTTATTATTGAAAACAAATAAAAGGTAATTTTTACAGTCTCATAGAAGCTATTAAAAAAGCATTGCAAAATTTAATGTGAGTATTCAAGCCAGTTGAAGAAGGCAAGCAATGAAAGAGATGTTTAAATGTGTTGTCTTCGCTCTCAGCACCTTTGGATGAGGGACATATGTAGGCAGGTCACATGTTGGAGAACAATGTTGTAATTGTAAAATCCAGTTTCACAGATAGAATTTTAGTTCCAGAAAGCCTACTTTGGTTTATGTTATTAGGATAGATGGCTTCTCTCTTACTAAGTGAGAAACTCAAGTAAATACCTGGAACAACTTAGAGTTATATATTTTTCATTACAGAGTAGGATGAACCATTTGATATAGCAGGCTTGGTGGTACCTAGGGATACCAGGTAGATGCAGAGAGGTCTTGTCTATTCCATAATTGTTAGGGTTTCCCAGGAAGCATTTCATCATAACCTTGGTTTTACACTTGTGAGCATAACTGGGATGGTCATGTGTAATACAGCTGCAACTGTAAACAGTTTACTCAGATTGGTGTTACAAGTAAAAGGGGTTTGACTCCTAAGGTATCTTCTTTGTGAATCATTTTTGTGGGGAGTATCACAGTCAAACATCCATCATTTGTGTCCGAGAAAATTGTTGTTCTTCTGCACTTCTGCTGATAGGACTGTCACTTTGATTAAGTTAATAATAGTGTTAGAGAAGTTATTTGTTCCTGTCAGATCTGGTTCCTGGGGTTTTGAAAGCAGTGAAGTTCATTCAGTCTGGAGCAGCAAGTCCAGGGTGCTGTGAAAGCAGCTTTGAACAGTCAGGCTGTTTCCAGCATTGGTAGCATCACTCAATCAAAGAATGACTTGGAAGAATAGCATTCAATTTACATTACAGATTGTGGTCATTTGTTAGTCCCTGCAGTTTCTGTGTTAAAAAAAAAAAAAAAAAATCTGTGGTCTTGAATGCGTTTGAAAACAGGGAAACGAAATGCTCCCTCCAAACTGCGTGTGTCCGGTGTGCACAGTCCATGCGCGGCCTGGGCCCGCCCCCTTTGTCCCATGCCGTGTGTTCTGTTTGGTGTGTGCTTGGTAGCCTTGTTCGGGCGGGGATGTTAGCAGTTGTTAATGAGGGGAGTTCTTCTGTTTTAATTCCCTGAAGCCGAGTATGGAGGGGATAGCAGTCTGCTGTGCGTTTCTCATCTCGGCTCTCCTTTCCTCCCCTGTAGTTTCCCCTCAGGTGGTTTGATTTAGTTCATTGATGGATTATGCCTCACACTCCTCTCATTTACAGGTTCCAAAGGCTCCAGGTTTGATTGGCAAATGTTTCTTTATTCTACACGTGCTGTCAGTGGTCCTGTAGATGGCAGTTCGTCTCCTTCTTTGAAGCTCTTTAAAGGACAGATTCTAGAAGCTTGCACAGTTAGCTTTAGAATTTATAAAGTTACTCATAACCTGTGTGCCTAGTCTGCTAAAGTCGTTGCTTCTAGAATGCTAAAGCTTGAGGGACACCATTTGTGGGATGACATCTCTCCAGTCAATATTCGTTTCTGTTTATTAACTACTAAAGCTTTAAAATTCCTGCTCATTTACCTAATAGCTATTATTATCCTCTTCGAGGACTGGTCTTTCTTTTTAAGCTGTCATGACATAATTAAAAATATTTTTATTTTCAGTGACTCCATCAGTAGTAGTTTGTAAGTGGTTGTATTATCTGTGGTGTTAGTTCCCAGTGGTGAGGAAAGGTAGTTATCAGCATGTTCAGGAACAGGATGGAGGTTTGCAAGCCTTAAACTGTTTAGTGAATTTGAACACTTGATATATTGTATGGGTAAGAGGGAGTTGATCTGTATGACCCAATGACTTTTTTTTTAAGTATAGGTACGACATTCTGTTACCCTTTGAGGTATTTTTAAGGTGGTCACTATACTTCTGGATTAGGTAGTTTAATGATGCAGGTTCTCTAAGAAACATTTGCTTAAATTATTAAATTGTTCCTCCATCACCATTTCCTGCATCCTTTAGGTCGAATCTAATGATTCTCCTTTTGTTTTAGATAACTTTTCCAGAGTTGGCCATATGGGTGACTTTTAATTCTTGTTTCAACACCTTTGAATATGCTGTTCTTTGCAATTCTAGTGAGTTGGATTAATTAGATGTAGACCTTGGTACTAAGTATGACCAACAGTTGAAATCTGATAGAGCAAAACTTTTGTTTTGACTAAATTCTGTGTTCATCTTGGCATTTGAAAAGGTCACAGAGGGGCTGGCCCTGTGGCCGAGTGGTTAAGTTGAGTGCTCCGCTTCAGCGGCCCAGGGCTTCACCAGTTCGGATCCTGGGCGTGGACATGGCACTGCTTGTCAGGCCATCCTAAGGCGGCATCCCATATGCCACAACTGGAAGTACCCACAACTAAAAATATGCAACTATGTACCGGGGGGCTTTGGGGAGAAAAAGGAAAAAAATAAAATCTTAAAAAAAAAAGGTCACAGAAGGGAAAGTTACAATAGCTCTTACTATATCAGGAATCTAGAAATCACTGTGACCACTGATTTCCAGAAATTAGAGTTAGCTGGCACTTTTGGAGTCTTGATTGTTAGCGGTGGAATTTGGCATCAAAAGGCCTTTCCTTGCTGTTTGCTTGGGTAAATACTTGCTTCCTTGCCTTTGTGCAGCCTGTCAGTTGATCCTGACACACTTATTCTGAAGGAGTCACTGAGTTTTCCAATGTGGGTGAGTTACGCTCTTGCTGCAGAACCCTGCGTAGACTTTTTATCCCATTCCTCCTCTTGTAGCTTTCAGAAAACAGAAGAATCGTTTTCTAAGGTCCAGTCCCCATAAGAATACAGGCCCTGTGAGGCAGGAATTTCTGTCTGAAGTTTTCTTTCTGTTCCTTCCCCACATATGGCACTTTCAGGATTCTTTTAAGTACGTGTGGAGTAAACCCAGAATGGTGATTGCCATCCCACACTCATTTGTCTGACACCCCTGGAACCCTGACTTGTTAACCTGGGAGTACATTGTCTTCCACTCCTTGTATCCCAAGTATAGACTGAGTCTGGTTTTGGACGGCTTGGGGGTGTGTCTTGGTTTATGACATAGCTTTTCTCTTTGGACCACTGAATAGTGAATGTTTGTGTTAAGTTTCATAATCTCATAAGCACTGCTGTTTATTACATATTGGCCTTTTTTATCCCAGTAGGAATGATTTTTATCTCTTTAAAAAGAGCCCAGTGCCATCATGCCATTGTCCCCACCCCTTCCCTTCTGTTTGGCTGCCAGCTGGTGGCTGTGTCCTGATGCTGAGGGTCATTCAAAGCATCAATAGAAAATAACAAGAACAGTAATGAAAACAAGGGAGAACAGGCCTTTCTTATTCTTAGCTAGTCTGCAGAGGATTTGTTAAGGACCTTGGAGATCAAGATACTATTGCAAAAGTGATACTGGATCCTGTTGGCTCCCACTTTATGAAGAAGATCTTTCTTGGTCACTGCGGGATCACATGGTGCTCAGAGCTGTGAGATGGAGCCTCTGCTCTGCCCCCTAGAGCTCCACTTGGTTGGACAGGAGCGCTTTGCCTACAAAGGGTGTGAGTGCGCTGGCGAGTACTGTAGGTCGTGTGGGTCGTGGAGGGAGGGGAGGCCTATTTAAGATGTTCCTTAAGGTATTGGTCA